GGGGGCAACACAACGTTAGTGGTCAGTGATGGAGTGGTCAGTAGAAATCCCCACAGGCCAGAAGCGTCAAGCTAATCCACCAAATTTGTTCATGTATCAAAACGCTAGCCATCCCAGATCGGGCGACTTGCACCGGCCGGACACTATCCCTCTGAGTATCCCCCAAGCAACAGTCAACAGATTCCTGTCTAGACAGAGTTCACCAGACAACATTCTCCCTGTGTGTATCCCCCGTGTCTAGACAGAGTTCACCAGACAACATTCTCCCTGTGTGTATCCCCCGTGTCTAGACAGAGTTCACCAGACAACATTCTCCCTGTGTGTATCCCCCTGTCTAGACAGAGTCTACCAGACAACATTCTCCCTGTGTGTATCCCCCCTGTCTAGACAGAGTTCACCAGACAACATTTTCCCTGTGTGTATCCCCCTGTCTAGACAGAGTCTACCAGACAACATTCTCCCTGTGTGTATCCCCCCTGTCTAGACAGTCTACCAGACAACATTCTCCCTGTGTGTATCCCCCAGACAACAGAGGGTACACTGGAACACAAAATCTGTGGAACTTTATTACAACTGGGCCAGTCCTCCAGACCCATCATTCCAAAAGTCTGAGAAGAAACCTGCAGCCACCAACACACTGCCAGCAGTAGGTTACTGGGACTCCGCACAGCCAGGGAAACATTTCAGTCGGCAAAAATGAAGACATTTTCAACATTGCAAGAAGACAAAAATGAAATGACAGTCCACCCACCAGTGGGGCCTTTGATGAGGACACACAGAGAAGTAGAAAGAGGAAGAATTATTCCCAATAGTAGCAAGGACAACACTTTAGTCTCACTAAGCACAACCATTATTCAAGACAAATGGAATAAGAATGAATTTCTTACTTAAAGTTGACACCAACAAAGGAGATAAAACGAAGACCATCCTGTCTCACACACTACTGCATAAACTATCTGTACAGAAAAAAGTCAAAAGAAATCAGAAAAAAGACATTCCACTCAGCCGTACTTCCAACAAACATTACGTCTATGTGTTTCAAGTTCTCTCCAGTAAAACAAGGTAACAGTGGACCTTACTTTGCCTCCATGTCCTTGACGACCTTCAGGTAGTTCTTGTGTCGCTTGATGCGGCGCTGGAACTCGTAGAACAGGAAACGCAGCTGCATGCAGATAACGAGACTGGCCATGCTGAGGAAGATGTTTCCGTGGAGCTGTGGACCAATTGACCAGCATGTGTACACAATAGAAGACACATAAACATAGAGAACCAATTGACCAGCATGTGTACACAATAGAAAACACACATAGAGAACCAATTGACCAGCATGTGTACACAATAGAAGACACATAAACATAGAGAACCAATTGACCAGCATGTGTACACAATAGAAAACACACATAGAGAACCAATTGACCAGCATGTGTACACAATAGAAGACACATAAACATAGAGAACCAATTGACCAGCATGTGTACACAATAGAAAACACACACACATAGAGAACCAATTGACCAGCATGTGTTGTTTGTTTGTTTGTTTAGTATAGGGTTTTACGGCGCTCGCAACTGCATAAGGTCATATGAGCGCGCGGGACACACCTAATACTTTTTCGTTGGTAGGAAATTTTGAATTTTGCCCGGGTGGC